GAGTACTTCTTGTAATCATCGTTCGATTTGTGTTGGATTGAGGAGTCCCATAGATTTTCCCAAGAGGTGGGGTTTTACCATGTAAAATAATTCTTTGCTTGTTCTTTTATTTTATGCCCAGCACGTTTCAGGATTGATAAGCCATATCAATCCTGCTACCGAAGTTTATTTATTTATTATTAATTATAATCTTAAATTGGCCAATTCACCCCCCTCTAGGCATTTTTAGTCATCCTGCAAGTGTTTTCATTATTCCAATGTCATACCAAGACTCCCCCTTCATATGTGCCAAAGGTAATGTGCATGAGTAAATGCCAACATGATGCTTATAGAAAAGGAGAACCAATATCAATATATGTCTGGAAGTATTTGAAGCAAAGCCTTTCAATATCCAAGGCACATCGAATCACAAATATCTAATCAAACACAAGGATTATAAAATGCGGAATCAAAAGTATTTGTGAGAAATAAAGTCCATCAAATGAGCAAATATCAAAGCCCAATCTCGTGTTATGTGACTAAGTTGCTTAATAACAAAGAAAAAATCCAACCAAGAACGTAGGATAATCACACATACATAATGCATATAGAGCTCACCACTTTCATATTTATTTATTTATTTATAAATGCTAACTTTATTAAGTTTTCTATAAGACCCACGTAACATGTATTTAATCAATGTGCTCAAGTCAATTGACTTTAAGACAATGGGTGTAAAAGAACCCTTAGGATATACTGACCCAAGTCATGTAGGCTACAAAGAATAGCAATGTGTGGAAAATCAAAGCTTTTTGACACAAACCTCAATGTGGGTTAGACAAGAGGCCCTGTTACTTGGCTAGGACCAAGTACTTATTTTAATTTACTTTTAGTTGAAGAGAGATTATGAATTTGTAATGAGCCCAATAGTAAGAAGTACAATGCAAACCTAGCATCCGGACAATGATAAGGTGAAGATTCATTCAAGGTTATTAAGAAACATTAGAGTGTGTGTGCCATGAGTGAGATATGGGATTTCATATAAAGAGCATTTAATTGACTTTATAAAAAATAAAGACAGTCGAAAACCATTCACATAAACCCAATATTGATCTACCCAAGGTGATCCAACGCCAAAAATCCAATCTAATCAGCAAAAACTCCCAGACATCAGCAGAATTGATATCTCTTCGCAATCCCTACACGTGTTGGACAAAGTACTTAGAATATAAATGAAAGCATATTTGAACAGAAAAACACAAACAGTGAGGACCTTTTGGCACGCATCAGAACACAAGCAATTATTTAAGGGAGCAAATACCTAAAGATTTTCTAAGAGTGTCAAATGGAAGATTATCTAAAGGTTTTGTGAGAAGACATTTGACATCCAAATTTTCTGAAACAACAAGTTTATGCACAACATTAGTGGAGGCAAACATTCAATTATGATTTTCCTTTTTCCTCCAAACTAACCTAGTTTTCGGTAAAGAACAAAAAGAAGATAGTTTGCATAAGTCTTTTACCTCTTTCATAAGATTTGTAATCTTATGTTCAATACTTAACTTTCTCCCATGACATGTGAATTTGAACTTACAAATTCGTTTCGAAGTTTATTGCATCTTGGTCTTATGTGGCCATAAGTGCCAAAAAAAAATGACAAATTGGAATGAATTTCTTGAATTCATGAGCGGATGCAGGTTTAGCATGTTCAACTGGTAGAGAGGATTTGACAAACTTCGTTGCAGAAACCGTGAAAGACTTATTGCTTGGTGCAAATCCAAACCTCATTTATCACCATCTCTTCTTCCCATGCTAATCATCTTGTCAGTTTTTTTTTTTGCACCAATGGTTAAAGAAACAATCCTTTCCTTTGAATTTTTAAGTTCAAATTCAAGGGCTTTGTTGTCAGAAATTAGAGATGCGATTAATTTATTTTGATCAGTCAACTTTTTCTGCAAAAACATCAATTTTCATTCATACCTTCACTTACCTTTTCGGCATTTGCGTCAGGGGATTGAACCTCGTTTGCAATCCTGCTATTTTCCAACTACAACGCAGCAATAAATTTGACAAGCTCGCCATTTTTTATATTGATATTTTGTGAGGCAACCAACAAATCACCATATTTCTTCATGATAAACTCAATATGCATTTCTTCACAATCGTCATCCTTCTTCGTCTGTTCATCGAAGCTTTATGGTCATAATAAATACAATGGCCTTCTCATCATTTTCAAAGTCAAAATCCCTATCAAATGTAGTATTTATTGCCTTATTCTTGTCATCCTTTTGTTTCTTTAAGGTGTTTGCACATTCCGAAGATATGTGACCATAGCCTTCACATTCGAAGCATTTGACATTTTCTTTTCAATTCTTTCGTTCATTTGACCTGTGAGATTTAGACACACCATCAATAGAGTCAATAAACTTATTTTTTGAATTTATATATGAACTATTCTTTGAATCTCGATTCCTCGAGTCTTGATTCTTGAGAAAGTTCATGAATCGTCTTGTGAGAATCATCAATTCCTCATCATTGCAATCCTCAATTGAATGCCAATCATCTTCTTCATTCACAACTTTGAAAGCAACACTTTTTCTCTTTTTAGGAGCTAGATGTTTCATCTCAAAAGTTTGTAAGGACCCTATGAGTTCCTGAACTTTCAAAGTGTTCAAGTCACGAATCTCTTCAATGGCCGTGATCTTTGGTTGAAACCGTTGAGGCAAGGATCTTAAAATCTTTTTCACAACCCTATCTTCTGGAATTTTTTCACCCAAACTTGAACATGCATTCACAATGACTCAAAGTTTAGCATAAAATTCAGAAAAAGTTTCATTCTCATCCATTATGAGTGTCTCAAACTGTAAGGTGTGCATTTGAAGCTTGGCGCCCTCTACAGTATCTGTTCCTTCATGAGTAACCTGCAAAATGTCACAAGGTTCCTTAGAAGTATCACAACCAGATATATATTCAAATTGATCAGAAGAGACAACAAAAAATAAAGCATTTAACCCATTTTGGTTATTAGTACTGTGTGTGACTTACGCAGTGGTCCATTCCTCTCTAGTTTTGAGGACTATGCTTTCTTCCTCTTCTTTTCTGATTTTCTATGTAGGTTCAGAAAATCCATAAACCATTGTATACCATACACGTTCATCTATAGACCAGAGGAATTATTTCATTTTACCATAGTTGTTGCCTTCGAAATATGGTGGATGTACAACTGAGCCTGCGACACTATCCATCCTAAGGTATGTCAGATCTTGCTGAGTGTGTTCAGCAACCTGCTCTGATGCCAATTGCAATTACCTGTAGGATGACTAATAATGCCTAGAGGGGGGTGAATAGGCCAATTTAAAATGATAATCAATAAAAATAAACTGAAACGTGCAGAGCATAAAATAAAGGAAGACATAGAGAGTTATTTTACTTGGTAAAAGCCTACCTTTGGGGAAAGTCCACAGTACTCCTCAGTCCAAAACAAATCCACTATAGAACGATGATTACAAGAAGTATTCATACACTTATCCTAAACATATTCTAGATAATGTTTACTAACTTCTTTGTAACTCAACTTTTGTTGTGTTATGACCTTCCAACTCTCCTTATGTTGAACCCAATACTAGTCATGATCGATTCAAGCTCATCGGAGAAAAATCGCCACCACAGTTTGGTGCCCTCAACCGTATAAGTCACCGAACTATGCAAATAAATGCAATATGAATGATAAAGTGTTTGATAAATCACCAAGTAAACATGGAACACTTATCTCAAATAAAAAACGCAGCTTTCTTAAACGTTTAAGCACACAAAAATATTGTTGAAAAAGCTATCTGAAGGAAAACACAAAATCTTGTTTTTATAGAGGTTTTCTTCACAGGAAGAAACTTATGTACCAAATCTCCATTCTTCAAGGCTAGAAAAAAATCACAATAGAATATTTCCTATTCTAAATGCAAGTCACGTGTAAACCAAGCACTCATGAAAGGAGATGCTCAAGAAAGAAGATTTTGACCAATCACAATATCAAAGGAATCCTTCTATGTTTAGGTAAACTATTAATAGCATCTTGACTCCTTGATATTATGATATAATTGAAAAAATGATTTCTAAGCAACCAAAACGTGTTAGAAAATCAAGGGGATGTTAAAGCATGAAAGCAAGAGAATCAAAATTGATTTGGGCAAAAATTGGCTAAATGAGATGCACTCTTAAAGGGATTCTAATTAATTAAAAATTAAGAAAATAAAATCATATCAGACTCCACAACAACATTCCTTTAATGAGTGCATAAAAAATGACATGTCTTACCCTTCCAATCATATGCCTCATACGTTTTAAGTCACCATACTGGTATTCAGGGATTGCTAAACTGTTTCAATCATGTAATTTCTAGAAATCAGAGACATCAATTTTGCTTTAACTCTACAGCTAAATGACAATTCCAAACCTATATTAAGTTCTAGGAAATGCCAACACAATTTCATGCCAACCCAAAAAACAGAGATGATTTTCAATAGTTGTTTATCAACCATTTTGGAATAAGCTACAAACTAATTAAGGTGGGAGTAGGGGCTTGTCTCTTAGCATAGGAGTGTATATAGACTGGCCCCCACACCTTTCAAATCCCCTTATCTAGCAATTTTCTTTTTGGCTCTAGATGCTAGAGGTAGGGAAAATTAATAGTAATTTGAGTGAATATTCCATTATGTATGGTGGATTAACTTTTTGAAAGTTGTATGAGAATGTTATAATTAATTCAAAACTAATAGAGATATCACACCCCAAGCATACATTTGATGGGAATCAATGAAGGTGGGGAAGTAAGGGTGTGAATTAAAAGAATCTATACAAGGTGTGGCAATAAAAGAATAAGACAAAACTAAAGGGTCCTTAGATAAATAAAATTTTAACATATCCTGAAAAAATACTCTAAACTCAAACCCCCTTTTTTTTACCCCATTTGGACAATTAGCATCCCTTGGCCTATTTACATTATGGGCTTTCACTTCAAGCCTCTTTTTAAATCCTACTTCTATTTCCATGTGTGTGGCTTAAATTTCTCTTTGAACAATTGTCAACAGTCAAGACCCTTATACAAGTCTTAACTTAAGCCCTTTACTCTCTTTGTCACAACCCCATTTCATTTTCTAAAACACTTGACAAACACTCTGCTATGAATGATCAAAGGGCTGGCACAAGCCAAGGAATACAAGATCAAGATGATCATGGTGAAGATGAGCAAATCATCCGGGACATCCACGCCTTGACACCACCTCACGCACCGCCACAGCTGGCTAATCGGGGCCGAAGAAGGGAAGCTTGGGAGACTAGTAGCCATAGATCATCATCTTTGTCCATGGCTAGCTCAGAAGGTGCTCCAAGTGAGAATTTCAGTAGCATAAGTAGAGAGTTCAGTGCTCTAGTGGTTGCAGGATCAGCTATTGGGACTAATAATAGTACCAATGAAAATGATAGCGCTGTAAATCATGGGAACAATAACTTGGGCAGGATTGGAGAGGAGGACAATATGCCTGAGGAGGAACTTAACCCTTTGGCTATAGTACCAGATAATTACAACCCATCAGAGCCAATTGCTTCTCCAAGACAAGCTGGGGCTAGGAATTATGCAGTTGGGTCTTCATCAAGCATTGCTGGGACTCAGGGTCATCAAGGAGGTGATCAGGTGGTTTCTGTGCAGAGGGTGAAGAAAGAAGAGGTGGAGTCAAAGATATCAGCTTGGCAAAACAACAAGATTGCCAAGCTTAATAACAGGTTTAAGAGGGAGGATGCTATCCTTAATGGTTGGGAAAGTGAGCAGGTTCAGAAAGCTTCTTCTTGGATGAAGAAAGTTGAGGTATGTGGGCATAATTAATCTTGATGAAAGTGCTATTATTGTTCTGCATGTGGGTTAATTATTTCCTAATTATCCATGTTGGAAATTTTGCTCATGATGGTTTCTCTGACTAGTTGAGATTAGGATGGTTTGCAACTTTCTTTTTCATTGATTGCATACTATTTTCCATCCAATATTCTTAGAGCATGTATTTGGTCAAACAGATAATCATAATTTAGATTATCAAACATTAATAATAACAATAATAAACATTATCATCTTCATCATCATAATGTTATGATATACTTTCTTTTGGTGAAACTATTATCTCATCAAATTTTGTCCTTGTCTAATTTGTGCAGAGGAAGTTGGAGGAGAAAAGAGCAAGGGCCCTAGAAAAGATGCAGAATGATATAGCCAAAGCTCATAGAAAAGCAGAGGAGAGGAGGGCATCAGCTGAGGCTAAAAGGGGAACAAAAGTGGCAAGAGTTCTTGAAATAGCCAATTTAATGAGAGCTGTTGGAAGAGCACCTGCAAAAAAGTCCTTCTTCTAAGCCTTAAATTACCATTTTCCATATGCCATACCCCCCAACAAAAAAAAAAAAAATCATTAGGGAAAATAAATGTCCCACAATCATATAAGGGCCTTTTCCTTTTGAATGAAGGCACCTCAATATGATGAAATTGGGCAATGAAGAGTGGCATTAAGAGAAAAAATATAAATTAGGGATTTTGAGTGCTTGTGATTGATGGGTATTTTTGAGTGCTTTAAGTGTGCTGGAATTTTGGGATGGATCTGTTAGTTGTAGTGGTGAAAGAAGCTTCTGAATCTTGTACAGTTTTCTTATTCTTGGTCAGGAGTTGGTGTTTATTGTTGTAATGCATATAATTTTCTAAGCATAATTTGGTGTATCTTCCACCTATGAAATGCAATGGTAATTTGTTTAATGTTTATTATTATTTGAAATAAAAATTGTATTTAAGAACCAACCAAAAGATAGCCTCTTACTTACCTAACCACAACAAATGAAAGAACTTATTTTAATAAAATGCAACACCAGATCTAAAAGCATAAGATAAAGCAGACGTGGGTTAGGCAAGTTGGCTAGAGCAGTAAGTTCATCCCGTTGCACTTAAATTCAAGTCCTTCTCGTAGATTAGATTAATTTAGAGTAATTTAGACTATTTGAAGAAAGAAATACACAAAAGATTTTAACAGTATAAAGCATTTTGTGTTCAGTATGTGACAACAAACTTGGACCATTGAGTGTTGCTTAATGCTTTAGCAATTATCAAAATGATATATCACCGACATGTCACGATATTGGACATATTGTCACCTAAATGGTTGCTACATACACTTAAGTTATTAGTTGTTTAGTTAAAAAAGGCCAAAAAGAAAGATCTTTCTCTTCGATTTCCAACAAAGAAGATCTTCAAAAACATCTCCCTTTCAAAGTTGCTATGCATTGCAAATAATTTCTTGGATGGCCATACCACTTTGCGACAAAATAATGAAACTTACTATCTACTTTCAAACACTCCTAACTAAGAACATGAAGTTCTACATTGGAAACTTGACAAATTAAATTACAACACATAATAAGGGGTTTCACTACTAATAGCATCGAAACTTTTTGTATAAAACCCTACACCTGCCAAATATGCATATGGTTAAATTGAGGACAATATCAATGTTGGTAGTATTGAGTCGGGAGTATGTCCCCCAAAAATCTTAAAACCAGCATCGTCAAACATTCCTCCTCTAGCAAAACTTTGTTGTGAGCTTCCCTTTCTTTCTTTCCACGAGTAAAGGCTGTAGCTTTTCTAACTTTTTACCTCTTACATTGTGTCTGTTTAAAGATGCAATTCTAGTGGTTCACGCTCATTCCTTGAAATGAGATAAAAGTTGTCATTCAAGCATATTCTATTGGCAGATTATGCGTGCAGGCAACACTTGGCCATCATGATTCTTGACTAAATTGTTTCTTGTTAATTATTTTTGCTTTTTGCTTTTGGACTGAACCAATTTTTGGTCTGTCAATCATATGAAGAGACAAAATGGTATGTCAAGGACAGTTGAAAGGAGAACGATCCAAAAATGCAAATTGCGTTTAGGAAACTGCAATTTTTTCCGTGTCCTCTGAATCTAAACACTTAGACAGTATGATAGATGGAGGCGGGAAGTTCTTACATCATTCTATGTCTCAAATGTAGAAAAATACATTTACACTACTTCTGCAAGTTCCTACATCCCAATTGTATTGTAAAGATTAGGTAGAAGACAAACAGCAAGAACTAAACACCATCTACAACAATTTATGCACCTGTTCGGGGATAGTCATGAGAAGTCATCTCGATATCTTTTCTGAAGGTCCGTCTTCGTGAGGCAATTCCTGAAGATAAGTGATGAAAATCTGGTCATGAAAGTAGGAATTGAAAGTTTGAATAAGAAGAATACCTGCCCAATTTTCAGTGAGGCTCTCCCGAATTTGATCGTTACATTCAGTAGGAAGAACAGAAATTCTTATAAAGCAAGAAACAACAAAGCACAAGAAGAACAAAGTCTGCAACATTACGCAGTGCCAGATGCTCTAGAAGTCAATATCATGTCGGCAACAACCTATGTAGCAAGCAATCATTAACAGATTTTCCACTAAGAGGAGTGAAAAATCCAAAAGAATCTTACACAACAATTGTGAATAACACTATTCAAATCTTTTACTAGTTCATGCATGCACACACTCTCACTAACTTGATGGTGGATAGCAGGGCCTAAAGGAAACTAGAGGTTTTGATAACAACAAATTAATAAGCAAATCATAGTACGTTAGGAACTGGGGGAAATTTAAAATTAGTTAAAAGATGACCTCTTCTTGAATGAACTTCATTGCAACAAAAGCTTTATGTTCCACCCTCCTCGGCTCAACTCCTTGTGTATCATGTCATGTTCCAGCCATGAATTATACAGTCAACTGCAAATATGCCACAATAAGTTAGCAGCTTATACAAGAAAAAGTAACAAAATACAAAATTATAAACTCGGGTTAGAAAACATACCTGACCATAAGAGAATTTTCTAGTAATGCAGCAAATGAACATGAGCCGAGCCTCTATAAGCAATCATCCCATGCCTTTCTCACATGATCATACACTGAAAAGTACTTCATAACCGTTTCAAATCCAGACCCCTCATGGTAGACCTTAAACTCTAAGTTATCAATTGTATAATTTGGAGGACAATGCAATAAAATTGGGCCATAAGGAGCATCTAAATAGTGTTTCCTTGAGAAAAGACCATATTTGAACCTCAAATTGCTTGATTGATTTGAAAACCATATACCAACACAATTTTAGCAAGTTCTCCTCATGGCATAATATAGTATCATCATTTTTGAAGTATCATTGTCTGCCTGCCATGGTCAAATTTTTCAGTCTAAAAAAAAATTTAACCAATAAACTCTGCTAGGCATGATTCCTGTCTCAAAACCAGTCTGTCCTAGGATCTATCCCCATAACACAAGGTTTGCTATCACCAATAGTCTCTGCAAGAACACAAGCCATCCTTAAAATGATGAAATCTGTTAGCATCCCTCAATATGACCTCTCTTCCCATAACTTTGGATATTAATTTAATTGCAGAATGGCAATCACCACAAACGCGAAGATTCTTCATCACCCGAATGGGCATCCCTTGGGGTACCTTCAAGAGTCCATATGCTATGGCCAGTTTCTCACTGTGATAACCCAAGCTGTGTGCCTTTTCTTCTTCCTCCACATCATGCAATACAAAGCTGGCATCGGGGCAGTAACCAGCTTCTCTTAACAATACACCTAGTTTCTCTAACATTCTCATGATCATTGCATGGTCTGGGTGTCCCGTGCTCTCTCCCCCAGTAAACATATGAACGTTTTTCTCGACCTCAATCCAGCTACAGCCAGGTGACTTGCTAACGCTTCTTGTTCTCATGTTTTTCCTCAGCTCTGCGACATCATGCCATCTACCCTGTGATGCATAAATATTTGATAGCAAGACGTAAGGCCCTGCTTTGTTGGGCTCAAGTTCTGTAAGTTTCTTCGCTGCAACTTCTGCCAAATCCAATTTCATGTGTTGTCTGCATGCGCCTAATAAGGCACCCCAAACAATGGCATCTGCTTCAACTGGCATTTTCTTAATTAAATCCATTGCCTCCTTTACCTTTCCTGCTCGACCAAGCAGATCAACCATACAAGCATAATGTTCAGTTCTTGGCTCCACCTGGTACTTTGACTTCATTGTCTCAAAAATTTCAAGACCTTTTTCTACCTTCCCACTATAGCTACATGCTGAAAGAACTCCAATAAAGGTGATCTCATCTGGTGATATGCCCAAGGTGCACATCTCTTGGAAAACTTGTAAGGCTTTCTCTCCTAAACCATATTGGGCATAACCGGTGATCATTGAGTTCCACATAACTATATCCTTCGCAGCAAACCTGTTAAACACCCGGTTTGCCTTCACAAGGTTACCACATTTAACATACATTGTCATCAAAACAGAGGCAACATATACATCATGATCAAATTGGTTTCTCACCAACTGCGCATGAATTTGTCTACCATAATCAAGGCTGGCCAAGCTGCCACAAACAGATAGAACGCTTATCAAAGAAGGGAAATTCGGCCTAACACTTTCTCTTTGCATCAAAGTAAACAAGTCAAGTGCTTCCAATTCAAAACCTTTCCGTTCATAAACTTTAATCATCGCACTCCATGTCCGATCATCCCTCTCTCTCATATTATCAAAAACTTCCCTTGCTTTAGCTACCTCTCCATTTTGGCCATACCCAAGTATTATTGCATTACAAGCAACAACTGACTTATCCGGCATGGCATGAAAAAGCTCTGAAGCCTCTTCAAGCCGTCCACACTGAGTGTAACCTATTAGCATTGCCGTCCATGAAACCTCATTTTTCTCCGGCATCACTTCAAAAAGCTTTCTTGCAACATCCACGTGGTTGTTATGCACATACCCAGATACCATCGTAGTCCAGGAAACAACATTCCTTCGTGGCATCTCATCAAAAATCTCACGTGCTTCTGCCAAACGGCCAACTTGAAAATACCCACCAATAATATGACTGAAAATATGCCCAAACGATCAAATAATAAAAATATAAAATTTTATATTCGAGCTTGATTTTAAAATAAAATAAAAAACCTGGTGGAGTGGAGCAGATGCAGCAGCACAGCTTTCAGTGGAAAAGAACAAGTCCGTTCGACATTCTTTCTTCTTTCTTCTTCTGGTTCTTTGAGTTGGTTGGTGCCGCCGTTTATTTTCAAATGGGAAAACTTGGCCTTTTCTTCTCTCTCTCTCTCTCTCTCTCTCTCAGAGGCTGGGTGTGATTTGGCCAAGTTTTTGAACATTAGATTTTGACCCTATATTTATTATAATTTTAAAAAAGGCCACATAATCTTTCAAATAATTTCAAAATAACCCCTATCCGCATCATATATCTGGTTCAAATTTGGAAATATGCAGCTCTCTTTTTGAAATTTCTGATCCCTTGATTATTTGCATATGGATTCCTGCAAAACATCTTGAGTTTCTTCAGACACAATCTATATATGTCATTGCCAATGGTCTTCATGTTGGCATCACATATGGTTTGGTACACTGGACAGCTCTTGGTATCTTCTTGGGAGCTCCACTTGCAGCCTCAATTTCTCTATGGCTATCTGTTCTTATGCTGGCCTTCAATGTTAATTGTACAAAGAGTTTTGAGCATACATGGGAAGGATTTTTATTCGAATCTCTCTGCAACAATGAAATGGTAAGTGGACATCCTTCAAACTTTTATACTTTTATCCCGAATTCTGAATAATGTTCTCTTGTCATACATACGTCAGGTGAATAATCTCACAGCATAACATTCAGACTCTGTGACAGAATAACATTTTGTTCTACTCCTTCAAGTTCTCTATTAATTGTTGATTCAGTTCAAGGTGTCTTTTCAGGTTGAGATCACTCACATTTCAACTTTGTTCTTCTTTTTCAGGTGTGACTAGAGGATGTAAACTTGGCAACAATCTAGATAAATGTTAGGCAAAAGAAATAGTTAAACTGTAGCAACATAGACCATTTGAGAAAACCTAGTTTATTATCATAATTAAACATGGATTAGTATTAACCTTGCAAAAACAAGGACTGCAACAACTGAAATCTTCTGTTCATTCAAATATCTTACCATTAAATCATACTCTAACATTTCTTGCAACTGAAATCTGCAACAATTTACTCATCACTGCAATGCCAGGTTCTCAACTATATAGCCCTAATATTTGACACAAGAGTCATCCAATACAACATAACTATTTCCTCGGAAAATATGCATTTTCATTCCACCTCGCATGGCGTTGACAAGCTCAAAAACCAGTGTGTCCCCAAGTGAAATGTTGTTTGCTTGACAACATTCTGACCACCCTTTTGTCATGAGCAAACGACCACCGTTATGTTCTTTTTCATCAAGCCTTAGTTTAACATCCCATGATATCCCATTTGGGTCTTCAACCCTTACACTCTTCTTTCTAATGAGACCTGTAGCCACAGCCAGCTCCTTTGGGATATTCTGCAAATATGAACGACATTGAAGGGAAAGAAAATGCTCAGCCACTTGAGTTGGACATTTTTCAGTCCATCAAAAGGTTTTCTGAAGAGTTCTTTTACCATTTTTTCCATTCAGTAACAGAATTGGATTATGGATTGGGGTGACGAAAGTACTCACCATGCGATAGCGGTTCTTCCTCATAGCTTGAATGAAGCATAGATGCTTCGATCTGAACACAATAGGTGCATTTGATGTTTCTTTCCCACCATCAGTTCTTGCAATCCTCTTTCCAGACTTGAGAGACTTGCCTATACAATTCCAAACAGAGCCTGATTTAAAAAGAACCTATAAAGAAAACTAGCACATACAAAAATCCCCAAGCTTTAAAGAAGTAAAATAGCATACAACTTACGCTTCCTTATGTTAGACATACGAGCATCTTCTTCACTGTCTTCGTCGGGTTCTTCAGTGTCAAGCTCAATGATCTCCTCCTTTACTCGAGCTCGATTTCCCCTTCTCTTCTTGGCTGGTTCTAACTCCTTCTCAGGGCCAATTGGATCATACAGTTTGACATCAAACTTGGACTTGCCATCATAATCAAAAACCAAAAGATTTGCAATTTCCAAAGAATGGTCCTTCACAAAACGCTGCCAACCCTCATGGAAGAAAAATCTATCCCCTCTCACTTCCAAACCCACTGTCCAACAGTCTCCACTAGGACCTCTAAGAGTACATTTGGGAGGCAATCGTCCATTGATATGGTCCATAAATGCAGGTGGTATACTCTACAAAATTCAACAAAACTCTAGCATAAACATAGCATAAATAATAAAAACCAAGCAACTGTGGACATCAGTACATCTTGAACAGAATTTTTAGGCTATGAGATGAACAAAAGGGCCAAACCACAATCAGTTAAAACAATCGATCAAATTGCAGTCATTCTAAAGCAAAAAGAACAGAGAAAAAAGAAACAGAAATGTAAGAAACAAAAAAGGCAATCCATGATATGCAGCAGTCGTTTTAAAAACCAAAAAGAACAGAGAAAAAAGAAACAGATAAGGAAGAAAGAAAGAAAAAACTAAGGCAAGCCATGATATTGCAGAGACAAAAGAAACAGAAATGGAAGAAAGCAAAAAAGAAAAAAGGAAAAGGGCAAGCCATAATATTGCAGTACTTTTAAAACCAACAAGAACAGAGAAAAAGAAACAGAAATGGAAGAAAGAAATTTAAAAAACAACACAAATCCTGTTAGGAACCTAGAAGATCAGCAACTTTCAGTTGAATCAGTCAGTAAGTTTCATTTAATTAGAGGGTTTCATATATAAATCCCCAAAATAAACTCTGCTTTTACAGAACAAAACTCATTTTGGCAAACCAACAAAAACAGACAATTTACATAAAAATCTACTTAATATATCTCATCATCAGGAACAGAGAAGTGAAAGAAATAGAGAGGTAGGACTGGATGTTACCAAACGCTGAGAGAAGTCACCAACCAGGAACTTGAAAAATGATGGTATCTTTGGTGAAGGCTTAGTTGGTTTTCTACCCATTATTTGGATGATAAGCTGGAATTTTATGAAGATGAAGATTAGAGATTGAACAAGCAGTGTGTTCAGTTTCAGTTTCCAACTGAGGAGCTCTCTGGAACAGCTTTCTTCGGGTTCTTCAATTGTGGTGAGGACAGCCGTTTGGTTTTGGAGATTTTAAGGAGAAGAAGCTCTTCTGTAACGTCTGTATTAGATCTTGTGTGCGTAAGCTCAGTTTGGATTTTTGCTTTGTCTTTAATTCGTTTGTTTTATTCCTGCTGGATTTGGAAAGTACTTCTAATGGGCACATGCATGGGAAAGTAACTCCAGACCCAGAAAAAGGAAAAGATTTAAAAAAAAAAACAGGAGCAAATTTCTGGTGTTCATGGTTTAGTAAAGTAAAAGTAGGGGACTGTATATGAATAATATCTGTGTGTATTTACTAATGTATGAAAAATACGTGAATTTTACTTGTACCATTCAACCTTTTGTAAAGAAAACGTGAGAAATATATAAGTACATGCATAATACATATATTATATATTTTGATTATAAAGAATATTTATTTTACCGTATGTGTTTCTTTTCTTTTTTTCATGCATTAGACCGTTTTCTTCTCTGTTTTATTATGTGACACGATTAAGGTTAAAAATTAACTACATGTGACATGCAACCTGTGACTAAAGAAAAAAAAGAAAAGAAAGGAGGAAGAACTCATCAACTAAAGATGATGGTTTCTTTGGTTTCTTATTGACTTCACTTATGATTTTAGGTGAATTGAATATATTCGGTACCAACTAATTTCATCCATTCATAACTCTTCACTTTTTTTCCGAGTCCATAAATTTGAAATCGAAGATTCACAATTGCATGTGCACTCCTTGAATGAAAGCACATCATATATACTCAATATAGGGTTGACAGTCTTGCCGTAAATGTATACTCATTGATAAGGCCATCTTGCTAGTTGTGAACTTGTGGTGTTGGTGTCAGCCAAGTTTTTCCTTTTTCTTTTTTCGTATATTGCTTGGTAAAAGTGATTTGTCCCAAAATGGAGAATGAAATTGAGATCAAGATCAACCAGCAATGCATGGGATTCTTTTATATCTCTCACCTTCCTCAATCAATTGCTCCACTCATCGACTCAATGCTTTCATGTTAAGATATCTCATCCATGTTGTTAATTTCTGTGGCTGTAATTAATTGTGAAGCAATATAATATGCACCCATTTTTGGAGAAAGAAAAGTTGATGGCCTCATTTTTTTTTAAAACCACTATGTAAAGTGTTTTTAAGTACTTTAAAGGTTATTAGAGGATAGGGAGCAACTCATTATTTCATAGATAAGTTGTCTCTCTAGTTTCTTCCGAGGCACTGACTATTATACTATGTCAGTTAGATTTTCAATGTTGATAGATTCACTAATTGTTATGAATGACTTGAATTAGGCTATACAATGAGTGTGGAATGAATCTGGAATTTTATGGAACAAAACTCCACTTCTCTAGAGTGACATGCCTAAGTTTTAGACCCTTATGCACTTGTGAATTAATTATGGTGAATTTGTAAGCAAGTATAGGTGATGTTGCAATACAACCTTGCAGATTCTGTTATCTTGTTTTAGAGCCTTATTTTGAGTTTTGTTTGATAGGTTTAGCACATATCTAAGGCTCTTTACTCAAATTAATTTTGCGGTTTGCTCACTAAAGTGTCCTAGACTTGCTTTGGACCATGATAAATATATATGTGCTGCTCTTAGGGGTGGACATTTGAACCGGTGCACTGAGTCAAACCGATTATATAAAAAAAAAGGAAAAACCGTATTGACAAAAAAAGTCAACCTATGCTCAAAAACTGAACTAGACTGTTTTGGATCGGTTCTCGTCCCAGTTCTTGTCTTGAAAAAACCGATATATAAACCTAACCGGATTGGTTATGTTAAGTTTACTTATTTATTTATATCCAAAATTATTAGTAAGCCTAATTAATATTCAAATCACATTAGTAACTCCAAGTAATATTTTAGCCCAATTAATACCCAAATGTCTTAGTTCCAATTTATACCCAACTAATAACAACTCTAGCCCAACTTCTTTTCCTTTTTGGTGAACCATACCCATTTTTCTCTCTTTTCCACATATTTGTTTCTATCTCTTCACCTCTCTCTCTCTCTTCTACCTCTTTCTCTCTTATTTTATCTCTTCTACTGATTTTTTTTCTTTCTTCTTATTTTTCTCTTCTTCACATCTTAATGTTTTGCAGGTTGTCTAAAACACCACAACACTCACATTTCTTGACTCCAAACATATGACCACACAAAATTCCATCGGATTCAAATAATTGCATGAACATTGAAGATGTTGGTCTTTCTAGTAGTAAACCACAATCCATTTCTCATCCAGCCTTCCAAATTTGGAAAATTTGTAAACACTAGGCTCGTCATTGTTACTGACGGGTAGCACCATAATTAATTTTGGTTCCTTATTTATCTCATTTCTTATCAACTTGTAAATATCATGGATAAAAATAGAAGTTGCATGTTCCTCTAGAGGTCGGAGGTGTGTAAGAAGGAGTGGGTGTGAATTCTTCGAACCAAAGTCATCCTTCACATTCTCATTTCTCAACTTCAATAGGGATCTTTTAACCTACGGAACACACTTCACTAACTTCATACCTCTACCAATTCCATCCTTCAAGTTCTTATGCATACCCTCAACACATTGTGTGGTGGTATTCTTACCAAAAAAACTGCCCCGAGCAATTAGCTTCAGCCCATCTTTTCCGTTTGTGGTGCATCATTTTGATCCAATCGCCTTTTAGATCATGTGTATCTATCATATGTTGTCAATGTTGTTCGAACGCCACTATTGTCAAACCACCATGCACATAATAGCTGAACTCCCTTACAATTTTTGGGTTATCTACATTGGAGTTCACATTCCTCATAATGTGCCATGAACATAAACGATGATGTGCGTCGGGAAAAACTTCATCAATCGCAAAGGAATTTGTGTGACATGACAATGTTAACCACCAACATGCAAAGACAGAAGAGTGAAAAGAAAATCAACAACTTATTTGCTTGCTTGTAACTCTTTGTGCAAAGAGGACAGAGAAGGACGACCGGCGTATAATATGCCTGAAAAGCCTTAGAAAGACCTATTTATAAGCTTAGACAAGCCTTAGAAACCATCAATAGCAATTCAAACTAAATCAATGGTACTAAAGCCGAAGAACTCATAAAACTGCCCAAATGGAAAGAAAAAAAAAACAGAAAACTGTTATAAAAGTTGGTCTCCTGCCAACTGGTCTGAGATTTGATCATGCCGAAAAGAAACAGAGAAATGGAGGCCCAAAACATAAAATCAACAGAAAAACAAAACAGTATGCCTTAGAGAGTCAGTGCTTCATAAAGTCCACATATATCCTGAGCAGTGTAGGTGAGCAAGTTTACTTCAGCCACACGATCAGTTCTCCTGGTTCATTTTTGTATCAACGATAGTGCAAAAGGATCATTGGGATAGCAGATTGGTTTCCCTGGACTTGTTGGGTCGTTTTTACCATATCTTGCGGTATAATATTTGTTACCAATAAGATCCGAAGTGGAAATAATCCAATGTAAGCCAATACAGTTAATGCCAATCCACAAACTAAAATGAACCTCCAAAAGCACAAACAAAATATGTAGTATCAATCAATAGACAAAGATAGAGAACATTATGTATTGTAAACAAAACAAATTTTACAAAACAGATCAAACCTCCTTAATGTCAAGATCAACCACCTTCTCTTCAAAAGCATCAACCGTCTTAAAGTTCAACGTTTTAAGCAATGTGATACTTGATACAGTAGACATAGGCTTCACTTCCAAATCATCCATTGTCATGTACATAAGTTAACGTCACTCTTGACGTATCCTCCCTTAATGTTGCCGCACGTCACTCCAGTAGGTTCTGGTGGAGGAGCAACATAAAACACCTGGGTGGATATTTTGAGTGAAATGCAGGTTGGACAAGGTGTTACAGGACTATCAGAAATATGGCGCTTGCAATTTACACAGAGGTAGAACCGTTTAGGCGCATTCGAGTCATTGTTGGCTGGCAATTGAAGGATGTTAGCGCCAGAAATTGTTGTCTTGGGTTTCAGCAGGGAGTCTTCGTTAAGATTGGGTTGCATGTATGTGTCACTGAGATTTTCGAGGCTCTCGTAAAGTTTGCCTAAGCAACCAACCATGCCACCATTGGAGAGGAGGAGCCTAGTCACAGTTGCAAAATGCAAGGACAGAAGAGTGAAGAGAAAATCCACAACTTCCTTGCTTGCCTCAGCAAACAGAACTTTGTTGCTTTTTGTGTCAATCAGGAGCTTCAAACTCACAGTAGCACTGTTGGTGGTAGCCATTCAGGCAATGTTGAGGACAGAGGAGAAGGGCAGCATATGCTTAAGCATTTAAAAAAAGACCCATTTATAGGCTTAGAAAGAAGTCCTAAATTTCAAAAAAAATCAAAAATGGAATGGTGAATGGATCATGAAGTGGGAGGGTCACCTTGAACCCTGCATCAGTCGACCACAAAGCCAACTCTACAGGTACAAATCTGTCACTACCTATATGTAGGGAATATAGTTTACAGATGAGTCAATAAATGTGTCTTTATTACCAATATAACATTTCCATCAACTAAGCTACATTTCCAATTTCTTTTTGTCATCTCAAGGGTCGCCTTATAGTTGCTGCTGGTGAAGCAATATACATCTTGTGGGACTATAGTTCCTCTGCAGCGTGGACAAATAGCTTAGGGTTGTCTGAGACATACCAGCAACTGGTTGCACAACAGAACTGTTCAGCGGGCCTTTGGATCATCGGTGGTCAAAATTGAAGGACATTAGCTCCAGCAGAAAGTGTCGTAGGTTTCAGCAAGGCCTCGTCCTTGTTAGTAGCGGGTTGTAGTATGTGTCACTGAGATTTTCAATGCTCTTGTAAAGTTTGACTAGCTTCCACCCATGATGTCATCCTTGTTAGAGAAGAGTTTAGTGGCAACTCACAGTCTGTGAGATAAATCCATCCTTGACATGTTTTCTCAATCAACTCTGACTTGTTCATCTTCTTCATCACCTCGCTTCCTGGGTTTGCCAGTACAAGCTAAACACAGATGGGAACAAAATTACAGAGTTATATAAACAGATGAAATAAAAATTTGGAAGGAAATATTTGATAAATTGAAAGACTGTTGCAGATTTTTGAACCTGGAGCTCCCTTCTGTCAACAAGCTTTTTGACCTCTTCAAATTGCAGATTTTTGAACCTGGAGCCCCCTTCTGTCAACAAGCTTTTTGACCTCTTCAAACATGCTTATCCCACTTGTGTCTATGTTACCAACAGCTGCAAACTAAACCAGAAAACAAATTAATTTCAGGGTAAAAAATGTCACATTAATTTTCTTTATATACATATGCACTATTTGTTTCCCTTAGTTACCAGTCATATCCAATATCACATATTGTAAGCTACTTTCCCCTGCAGATTTGATCCTATCTTCCTCATCATTTATCCACCTTGTAATCCTGAAAACAAGTAGGACATTGGGTCAACTTCCAAACTATTATTTTTAAATTTGATTATAACATGCAAGAGTGTGTTCAGGTTTAATTAATTAGTACCTTTCTCTTAAGGAGTTGGTATTTGCAAAGTAAATGGGAGCATCAATCTCAAGTATGAGAATTCCAGGAACATTGCTTGCATTGGGATACTGCTCAACATTTCTGTAAACCATGGAATTCGGAAGGTTTCCTTGAACAAAAGTCCTTGGCCTTGCCACAAACAAAAGTATCCTGATCACAGATACAGGCACTCATGCAGACAACAAGTCAAACGTGTCAACCTTCCAGAGGTGAATTGCGGCTTCATAATCTATGAGGCCGAGCATGGCGGCTATTATAATAGCAGACAGCACAACCAGGGGAGTGTAATGGAACAGAGGAGTGAGGAACAACAATGTGAACATAACCGCAATTGCCATGACAACATTTGACGTCTTGCATCCTGCATTGTAGTTAACTGCTGACGTGGGAAATGGCCCTGAAAATTGATGAAATTTTTTTGCTTAATTAGCAACATGAAATGAATCTAATTAAGATTAAACCCCTTAATTTAATTAGTATTAAATGTGTACGATGAGTGATTAACCTGTGGTGAGGTAGCAAGAAGTGCAAGAACCAGCAATGTTCATCATCCCAATGGCAATTATTTCTTTGTTCCCATCAATGTGGTAATTCTTGAATATGGAAAAGCTTCTCCCTACTGCTATTCCTTCCTGCACATAGCAATTAGGAAAACCCACAATCCATTAATTGTTATAATTAAGAACGGTTTGCAATACAACATGTTCTTTCTTGTGATCAACTGGCCTAAAAAACATCTGTAACTAAAGAATTATGTTAATTACTTACGGCGAGAGCTATGACTCCAGTTTTGAAAGCTGTTGTCAGATAAGGAGACACAAACAGAAGGTCTCCAAAGGACATTGGATTAAGCCCCTTCTTCAGCTTTCCTATCTGACAATATATATCCACCAGAAAATTCAGGCATTAATTAAAAAAAATTGTCATAGGTAAAAACCAAAATACAAAATACAAAAAGCTTTTACAGGCTAAAATCTCTATTGCTCCCTCTAACAATAACTTTTCGACCACATCTTTCTGTTTTCAGGATGCAAAACACATAATCAAAAGCCAGTTTTCTTATAGCGGCCATCAGAAATTGAAGCGAGTTCATAATTTAGCTAAAGTCAAGAAAAAAAATGGACCCGCCTAGGCGGCCGCCTAGCCCGCAGGCCGATTTTCCCAACAGCCTAACTGAACAAAAGCATAGTTTATAGGTTTTGAGCTCCAATTATGAACATCATTACCGAATTTAACATTACAGAACAAAATCCACCACCTGTTCTAGATGTCTGTGTACATAGATTTTCCAAAATAAACAAAATATAAAGATAATTTAGTTAAAACTACAAGTAATTTGAATGCATTCCACTAAAAATCAGGAAGCAGAGTAATTGGAGACTGAGCTTGTGAAAAGAAAAACCTTGGGTTGAAGAAACTATCCCACCAGTCAGAATCTGCGGCTTTAGGCTCGACTGGAACCAAACTTAAGTTTTTCTTCAATTTCCTAACTTTCTTGCTTTTCTTTGATTTCTTGGGAGGCTCCATGAGAGCTCAAATGAGGAATTGCCCACCTCTGTTTTGGCCTTGAACTTGAAGACTTTGATGGGAAGTATGATTCAGTGAAGCGAGCCAGGCGGAGAGGGGAATGTAAAGCCTGTATAGCTTTTTTTTGGTCTTTTTTTTCACTATTTAAATAAATAGCATAGCCGAGCGGCTATACTATTTAAATATTATATTTTATATTTAAAAGGTGTAGCTTCCTTTTTTTCCTGAAATTAATAGTATAGCCAGCCGGCTATACTCGGGTCCCTTTTCTTATAATAAATAGGCTATACCTCGGTCCTTTCTTCTATTTTTTTTAAAAATAAATCGTATCGCCGCGCGGCTATACTGTTTTTTTGAAAAGTTTTAAAATTAATAGTATAGCCGCTCGGCTAGACTCCATTTTTTTAATTTTTTTCATCAATTAATAGTCTAGCGGCCCGGCTGTACTCCATTTTTTAAATTTTAATTCCAATTAAAGTATAGCCGCGCGGCTATACAGATAAATACAATATATTAAAATAGCGCTGTGTTTTTAAATTTTTTTAAAATTAATAGTATAGCCGATACTCCGCTTTGTAATTTTTCCTAAATTAATAGTATAGCCGCACGGCTATAGTAAGTGTTTTTTTAAATTTTTATTCCAATTAATAGTATAGCAGCGCGGCTATATGTTTAAATACAATATATTAAAATAGTATATCCATGCGGCTATACTCGATTTGTCTTGTGGTGGTAGACGAGGGTTTGTGAAAGATGTTGTTACAAACATGATAATGGATAATTTGGAAGTGAAGCCTATGTCTACCATATCGTGATGCTGAACAAGTTCAATGTTAAGAAAGTTGGTACCCTTGAAGAGAGGATCGTTCATCTAGGCATGGATGAGGTTTGCGTTCTTTTTGTTTTTGTTTTGGTTGGAGGTATTTTTATCTTATTCAAAAGGATGATTTTCTTTTCATGAATTCTTAGGGTCTAAAATTGCTGAAGGCATCATTGGAATCCAATGCAGTTCTCACCAATGTGTTCCTTTGTGGGCAGTCAACACCATATCCTTTTCAGCCCATTGAAGTTCCTTTGTGAATGATTTCAAGGCTTACACTGAAATCTGTTTTAGAACATTTGGAGAAAGGGTAAAAAATTGGATCGCAATCAACAAGCCGTTGATCATTGCCAAATTGGGATATGACCTTGCAGGGTTTCCATGCAGGGAAGGCAATTCAGTCACTGAACCTTACATTGTGAGCCATAGCCTTCTCCTAGGAGTCCTAGCCCATGCCACTGTTGTTGAGCTTTACAGAGAAACAAGGTGGACAAATTGGAATTAGTCTTATAGAAGAATATGTGGAGCCTTACTCAGAATCAACAGAAGACAGAGCTGCAGTAAAGAGAAATTTGGACTTTGAACTTGGATGGTACACGGAGCCATTGGTATATGGAGATTATCCAAAGAACGTGAGACATTTGGTCAAGGAAAGGCTGCCCATTTTCACTAAGGAAGAGAGGAGATTGTTGAAGGGTTCCTTTGATTTGTTGGCATCAATTATTATACCTCAAGATATGGTAAAAACGACCCTGCAACTCCAAAGAAGCCAATCTGCTACCTCAACGATCCTTTAGCTCCAAAGAAGCCTCAAGATATGTCTATACCTTACGATTCGGGCTTTACCACATCGATTACAAAAACAATCTCAAGCGCATTCCCAAAGAATCTACTAAGTGGCTCCCTAAAGTCCTAAAAGGGTGAGAGAAATAGAGATCAAGCTCTAGATGCGTGTTGATGAAGACCAAGTTCCAATGTTGAGTTTCATTGGCACAATGCCCTGTACCATACACAATGTTGAGGTTCACTGCAATAAAGGCAACGTTTGAGTGCTTCAATTATCAATCTATAATTAGGCAATACCAAACAATTATTGCAATATGCTGGTAGACTATGTCTTCTTCATCACTAGTTCAATATGGCAGCAACCTCCAACCCTAGTGTGAGCAAAGAAGTTGTTGATTGTTTCTTAACTATTCTGTCTCTGCATGTTGGCACCATCATTAGGCTCCTCTGAGTCCTCTCCAAGAACGGCATGGTTGGCTGCTTAGGCCAACTTTATAAGATTTGCAGCCCAATCTTGGCAAGGACACGTTGCTCAAACCCAAGTCATCATTTGCTGACCAATAAAACTCCAATGCCAAACAGTTCTAAATATAATTCTTTACTTATTGAATTTACTTAGTTACCACCTACAAAAATCTCTCTTTTTATACCTAGGCTATGTCTATATGTATATATGCCGTTGCATTGCACCTCTTGGTATTAGTAGGTATGTTATGACCTCGCTTGACAAAATTCATGGCTTCGCCAATGTAAGTGTCTAAGTTTTGAAACTTCAGATTACTGGTCTTCTGAGACTAAAGTTAGATTTAGTTGACTAAATTACAGTTTGAGTCACATTATTCTTGTATTAAATTTAAAACACTGGTGTAAGTACAAGAACAATTCACTGATTCATTGCTTTATTATTCTTAAAAGCAATAATGGCATGTGTCCTTGCTTGGGTTTAGCTCAGTGATTGAGGTCCTTTCCTTCCCCCATGACCCAATCAGAAAACAAAAAAGAGTCCTTTATTTTGATAAGCACTACGGGGCAAAAAGATCAAAATAAAACGGAAGAGAATATTTCAAAGGTAGCCCATTCTTCCACAACTTAAACGGAATAAGCTCATGCCCAAAGTTGGCAAGAACATTAATCGTAAAATTAGCCTCCCTAAACACATGCTTACAAGCCATTTTCTCACAAATGGAACACAACAAGAGAATATCCTGAATAAGCAGCTTAATGCTCCAAGGGATGGAAGCAGCTTGGTTTACACAATCAATAATAAGCTTATAACATGCAAGAGTGTGTTCAGGTTTAATTAATTAGTACCTTTCTCTTAAGTAGTTGGTATTTGCAAAGTAAATGGGAGCATCAATCTCAAAGTATGAGAATTCCAGGAACATTGCTTGCATTGGGATACTGCTCAACATTTCTGTAAACCATGGAATTCAGAAGGTTTCCCTGAATGAAAGTCCTTGGCCTTGCCAGAAACAAAAGTACCCTGATCACAGATATTGCAACGTACACACAAGAAAAAAGAAATATTAGTTCTAATAAGTAATGTTAAGTTGTTGATATAGTGTTATTGTCACACACAATAACTTTTTACTGGTGTGACATATAGTCGTACGTACCCCTAAGACTAGTCCAATTTCAAGGCTGCCAAAAACGACGCCGATATAGGCACTCATGCAGACAACAATGTCAAACGTATCAACCTTCCAGAGGTGAATTGCAGCTTCATAGTCTATGAGGCCGAGCATGGCGGCTATTATAATAGCAGACAGCACAACCAAGGGAGTGTAATGGAACAGAGGAGTGAGGAACAACAACGTGAGCATAACCGCAATTGCCATGACAACATTCGACATTGCTGTCTTGCATCCTGCATTGTAGTTAACTGCTGATCTGGAAAACGGCCCTGAAAATTGATGAAAAAATTTCGCTTAATTAGCAACATGAAATGAATCTAATTAAGATTAAACCCCTTAATTTAATTAGTATTAAATGTGTATGATGAGTGATTAACCTGTGGTGAGGTAGCAAGAAGTGCAAGAACCAGCAATGTTCATCATCCCAATGGCAATTATTTCTTTGTTCCCATCAATGTGGTAATTCTTGAATATGGAAAAGCTTCTCCCTACTGCTATTCCTTCCTACACATAGCAATTAGGAAAACCCACAATCCATTAATTGTTATAATTAAGAACGGTTTGCAATAAAACATGTTCTTTCTCGTGATCAACTGGCCTAACTAACATCAGTAATTAAAGAACTATGTCAATTACTTACGGCGAGAGCTATGACTTCAGTTTTGAAAGCTGTTGTCAGATAAGGAGACACAAACAGAAGGTCCACATTGGATTAAGCCCCTTCTTCAGCTTTCCTATCTGACAATATATATCCACCAGAAAATTCAGGCATTAATTAGAAAAAATGGTCGTTATAGGTAAAAACCAAAATCTCTATTTCTCCCTCTAGCAATAACTTTTCGACCACATCTTTCTGTTTTCAGGATGCAAAACACATAATCAAAAGCCAGTTTTCTTATAGTGACCATCAGAAATTGAAGCGAGTTCATAATTTAGCTAAAGTCGAGAAAAAAAAAAATGGACCCGCCTAGACCCGCCTAGGCGGCCGCCTAGCGCCTAGGCCGATTTTTCCAACAGCCTAACTACAAGTAATCTGAACGCATTCCACTAAAAAGCAGGAAGCAGAGTAATTGCTCACCTCTTTTTTGGGTTGAAGAAACTATCCCACCAGTCAGAGTCTGCGGCTTTAGGCTCGACTGGAACGCGTTTTCTTCAATTTCCTATCTTTCTTGCTTTTCTTTGATTTCCTGGGAGGCGCCATGAGAGCTAAAATGAGGAATTGCTCACCTCTTTTTTGGCCTTGAACTTGAAGACTTTGATGGGAAGTGCGATTCAGTGAAGCGAGCCAGGCAGCGAGGGAAATGTAAAGCTTGTATAGCCTTTTTTGGTCTTTGTTGTTCTTTTTTAATAAATAGTATAGCCGCGCGGCCGTACGGTTTAAATATAATATATTTTAATAAATATTATGGCATCTTTTCTTCTTCTTCTTTTTTTTCAATTTTTTTTCCTTGATTTTCGTTTATCAGGGCTACAAGCTCAGTTGGCTGTCTATATTCCGGGTGTCATCTCTTTGAAGGAGTGAACAACAGCACCTGAGAAGCATGTTCTTGCAGACGCCACATCTCATAAACTAGACACAGAAGAATCAGAGGTAATCTCCATGTCTGTTTATACATTCCCTCTGCAATGGGAAATTGGACTGAGGCGATGATCCATTTTTTAAAGCTTCAATACTCTCTTCTTTTTTTCTATCTGGAACTTAAAGTTTTACTCCATTAATTTCCTTATCCATAATGGGTTAGCAGTTTTTGATTGGTCCTGCACATTTTCTGTCCTCTTTCGAACCAGTATGAACTCTTCAAAAATGATCTAGACATGCACCCATGAGTTCTCACTAATGCAATTATGTTCTTTGCTTCAATGCCGTCGTGTATGGTCTTCTAGCCAAAAAGTCTTTTGAAATACTTGCTTTTTATATTAGATGAATTGCGGAGCCAGTATTTGAATATATGGTTTATCTTCAGAATTATGCAAGTTGTTTGTGGCTCCAGGATTCTCTTTTGAACTTCCTTTTATTTTACTTTTGAGGCCTCAAATTTCATATATATATTTATAATAAAAGTGGTACTTCAATTTTGGGAAATTTTACGGAAAGTAAGCTGGTTTCTGTCTACATTGGGCTGGACATGAAATTGTTCAGCTTATGGCTTATGGCATGTTGCATTTGATTTCAATAGTTCAATGGTGCATGCGATTTTGGATATCATTTGAATTTGACACATCTATATTCCACTTGTATCCAGGATGACTTTCTGCATGCTGAAAGCTCTCATTTGGATGGAGATCAAGTGGCCACGGTATCGGATGGTGTTTCGGACTTGCAGGATTTACAAAGAAGAATTAAAGCTATTGAAAAGGCAATGGTGGAAAAGGAAAGGCATTTTTCCGCAAATCAGGTAGAAAAGAAATTCGGGGATGGGGTTGGTAACACTATGAAGAAGCGTGAAATATCTGGCTCAGGAAATGAAATTCTGACAAAAGACATAATTCTTGATCAGATATCAGAGTGTTCATCCTATGGGATAAGCAGATGAGACACCATAGAGGCTGATGGTCAGATGCTTGAGTTGCGGGAAACCACTGACCAGGATTCCAGCATTGATTTGATGGTTGGCAAAGGCCAGAAGGTGGCCGCTGTACCAACTGACCACAGTCAGACTGAAGCAGTAAAGGAACACAAGAATAAATATTCCTCTTCAGAATCATTGGTTGAGAAGGAATTGGGCGTGGACAAATTAGAGATCTCTAAGAGATTTACAAAGCCCCGTCAAGAAGGCAACAAGAAAAAGGACTCTAGAAAGACTTGATTCTGATGTACAAAAGTTGACAAACCTTCAAATAACCGTGGAAGACCTGAAGAGGAAGGTGGAGATTACTGAAAAGAGCAAAAAGGGCAAAGGTATTGAATTTGAAAACGTGAAGGGGCAGCTGGAAGAAGCTGACGAGGCCATCACTAAGTTGTTTGATGTCAATCAAAAATTGATGAAGAACGTTGTAGATGGTCCTCTGTTCTCTGATGGAGCTTCTCGGGTAGTGTCGGATGAAAGTGGGAGTGGGAGTGTGAGTCTGTGAGAAGAATGAGACTTTCAGAGCAAGCAAAAAGAGGGTCCGAAAAAATTGGGCGGCTACAGTTGGAGTTGCAGAAACTGCAATTTCTTCTTCTGAAACTTGATGGTGAAAAGGAAAGCAGAGGATCAACAAGGATCACGGAGCGGAAAACAAGAGTTCTTCTGAGGGAAATAGAACCAACCAGAAACGCAAGAAAGGGCCCTTCTGTGCATGCATGCAGCCCCCAACCAAGGGAGATTGAAGCAAATGGAATTTCATGGTCCCATGGTATAGTTTTAAAGCAATGATGAGGCATTAGTTTTGTCTCATTGTCCATAAGGTTTTTCTTTTTAGAGAGCTCTACTTGTTTTGCCATATTTTATAGAGAGGAGTATTGGGTCAGGCATTAGTTTTGAGATCCTGCTGTACATGCCAGGCCCCATCTTCTAATCAAAGGAAACTCACTCTGATGGTGTTTGCGTTGTTTATCATATTATTTTTCTTTTACATATATTGCTGCTTGTCTTACTTTTTGTTACTAGCGAGTTGTATGCCGCAGCTTAAAATAAAAATGTATTATTTTTGCGGGATATCTTTGGCTTTAAACTTCTTTGGTGTTACAAGTTCTCGTAGACTCTGACAAAATGAGCTTCCATTCTACTTTCTAAGCCGCCATACAAAGATGGCTGATTCACAGTCTGTCAAAAACATACATACATTTCTTTTATGCAAGTCAATGTGAAATAAGAGAAGCAATTCAGCATTTCATGTCATGTATGGCTGGTGCCGGTGAAATTGCCGAAGCAAATACTTTTACAGATTGAAACCGCTCCAAACTTCCAACTCATTTAAACCAAACCAGACTGGCAGAACAAGAATCACTTTGGTGCAGCAGTCTGCTTGCTGTGCAGCAAGTGTTTCACTAGGATATCCCTCATAGTCCTCCCCAACGGATCAACTTTCCTACAGCATTGTTCACCATATCCCGAGTCATGATGACCAGATAAAGCAACATCTGGTTATAATATATCTCCACTGTCAATTCTTATATTGTGAAGTAAACAATATACCAAGATGATGCTCGGAAGTTTCCGCTTATTGGGTCTCCACATGTGACATGACCTTGGTAAGGATTCTCCAAGTGCCCCTTAACTGCAAGAATGCCGTTACTGCAAGTGACCTTGCAGCCCCATGCACGGCATTGAAAGCGGAAATGGAAGCTGGGAGGCCATTGCTTTCATAAGGAGTTATGAGCCAGGGAAGCAGAAGATAGGCAACCACACCAACTAAGTATTCTCTAATCTCACTCCTCCAGATAAAGTTTTAACATTTTCATTCAAACGCTGTCCACCTTCACAGAGCTTGAAAAATCCTGAACACTTTAAAAGTCTAGACACCGTCATGCCCCCAGGCCAACCAGTTACTACTTTCAAGAAACCTCATCTCATGGTCAACAATTCCCTGCAAGAGCCTGCTGTAGTTGTCCTCCAGGTCACACCAATCGTCTGATGTTTAATCGGTAGGAAGGGTCATAATGACGTGTGTACCATCTATGGCTCCACAACAATTGGGCAATCCAAAGGCTTCTTCAAGTTTGGACTTTATTTCTTCCATTCTGTTGGAATCAGGCCACTTAAGATGGTGCTTGGCACGTTCTTCCAATGCTTCAATGAATCTCCAAGTCACCTGAGAAACTGTGGACTGGCCTACCCCGAAGGCAGCTTCCACTGAGACTTGAGACTCACCGGATGCCAACCTTCTCAGGGCATTGCAACCTGTTTCTCAACGCTAAGAAGCCTTCCTTCTATGTTGATGAGACCTGACAGCGGCCTCGACACAAGTTCTTCTCTTACAAGGGAACAGATATAGTCAAAAGTCTTCTTAGAGACCCAAAAGAAATACTTAAAACCTTCCTCCTCATCATTGCATAGTGAAGAATATGCACAGATGAATTACATCACCAAAACAGAATAAAGTCAAGTTATCATGGAAAGTTCAAAACAGAAATCAACTCGAAAAAAAAGTTGAAAAAATCTACAAAAAGGGAAATAGGAAGACAGAAAAACTTGCTTCCATATAACAAGCAGCAAAGCCCGACTATGTGTTTCTGTGTCTGTATATTCCCCAAGTTTGATTCAGTCAGGATTTCCAACTACTCATCCACCTTAGGCCAAAACAGATTCCTAACAATTACATACTACTTTTACAGGCTAAAATCTCTATTGCTCCCTCTAGTAATAACTTTTCAACTACATCTTTCTCTTTTCAGGATGCAAAACACATAATCAAAAGCCAGTTTTCGTATAGCGGCCATCAGAAATTGAAGCGATTGCATAATTGAGCTAAGGTCAGGAAAAAATAAGGACCCGCCTAGGCAGATTTTTCTAACAGCCTAACTGAAGAAAAGCACAGTTTATAGGTTTTGAGCTCTAATTATGAACATCATTGCTGAATTTAACATTACATAAGAAAATCCACCACCTGTTCTAGATGTCTGTGCATCATAGATTTTCCAAAATAAACAAAATATAAAGATAATTTAGTTAAAGCTACAAGTAATCTGAAAGCATTCCACTAAAAAGCAGGAAGCAGAGTAATTGGAGACTGAGCTTAGCGAAAAGGAAAACCTTGGGTTGAAGAAACTATCCCACCAGTTAGAGTCTGCGGCTTTAGGCTCGATTGGAACGAAGCTTCAGTTTTTCTTCAATTTCCTATCTTTCTTGCTTTTCTTTGATTTCTTGGGAGGTGCCATGAGGGCTCAAATGAGGAATTGCCCACCTCTTTTTTCGCCTTGAACTTGAAGACTTTGATGGGAAGTGTGATTCACTAAAGAGAAGCGAGCCAGGCAGCGAGGGAAATGTAAAGCCTGTATAGCCTTTTTTGTTTTAATTTTTTCAAATTAATGGTATCGCCGCGCGGCTATACTGTTTAAATATAAAATATTAAAAGAGTATAACCGCGACCCTCTCTTTTTTTTAATTTTTTCCTGAAAGTAATAGTATAGCCGTTCGGCTATACTCTGTCAAACTGTGTGTTGGTTTCAAACTTCTTCTGTTGCATGTTCAAACTGCGTGCTTACGCAAAACAGATATGAAAAAATTGATTGCAGAAATCTACTGCACTTGGTAATGGAAATTAATTAAAAGAGTATAGCCGCGCTGCTATGCTCCTTTTTATATTTTTTTCCTAAATTAATAGTATATATAATCCCCTTTTTTTAAATTTTTATTCCAATTAATAGTATAGCCGCTCGGCTAGACGTTTTGAATGCAATATACTGAAAGTGTACAGCCGCGCGGCTATACTCTGTTTTTTAAATTTTTTCCTGAAATTAATAGTATAGCCACGCGGTTATACACGGTTCGTCTGGTGGTGGTGGAGGAGGGTATGTGAAGATGTTGTTGCATACATGATAATGGATAATTTGGAAGTGAAGCCTATTTCTACCATATCGTGATGCTGAACAAGGTCAATGTTAAGGAAGTTGGTACCCTTGAAGAGAGGATCGTTCATCTAGGCATGGATGAGGTTTGCGTTCTTTTTGTTTTTGTTTTGTTTGGAGGTATTTTTAACTTATTCAAAATGATGATTTTCTTTTCATGAATTCTTAGGGTCTGAAATTGCTGAAGGCATCATTGGAATCCAATGCAGTTCTCACCAATGTGTTCCTTTGTGGTTGGGCAGTTAACACCATACCCTAGCGATAGAAAGAGAGATTTTTGTAGTTGGTAACTAAGTAAAGAATTATAAATGCAGAACTGTTTCGCATTGGAGTTATTATTGGTCAGCAAATGACAAGCGTGCATGTGATATGGATGATGAAGATTAAAAGTAGTAGTTATATGCTCAAACAAGTGAGAAGTGAGAAGTGAGAAAAAGGCTACGAATATTCCACATTCTTTTTCCCTTTCTTTTTCTTTTTTATTTTTTTCTTTATTTTTTGTTTTTCCGGTCTTTGTTTTTGGATCAAAATGCCCCTCAACAAAGTAACGACAGTTTCTTTAAATTGAAAACAATAAAGGTAAAAATGATAAAATTGAAATCACGAGAACTTTAATAATAAAAGTGATAAACCACATGAATCAAAACCTTTTATTTATCAATAGTAAGTTTCTTCAAGGTTAATTATACTAATTAAACATTGTAAGCTAGATTAGCTTATCATTAAGAGTGCTGTCTATAAGTTACTTGAGAACCATAGCTGCCGCGCACCATGACCCAATGGTCTTCTTAGTCATTCCACCACATAAGCTGCAGATCACAAATATGAAAGTTTTTAAAGTCAAGAATTACGCAAGCAAAGCAGCCATGACTAAATTGACTTTAGTAAATTGTTAAATTATGAATCTGAACCGTTAATTAAGTTAATAGGCATAATAAAATGCAGATGACATACGTACCTCCGCACTTGTAACCCTTAGGACGTCCAGCAATTTTGCAGCGTTTAGGAACGGAGCCGGCAACTGCGGGGTTGAGCCCAAGGCTCTTGGCTTCTTTAGAAAGGATGATGGCACAAAGGCAGCTTGTGCGGACCTTCTGCATCAGACCACAGCACTTGGGAGGAACCTCCACGCTCTTATCCTGTGAGGAGGGTGCACAAGATGCTAGCTTGTAGATCAGCACCTCCGGGTCCAGCTGCCCGCACTCCCCAGCCCCTTCCACCCCTCCCCAATTATTGCCTACAATTGCATCCACAACCACATGTACCTCAATATTAAGCCTCCTCCCATTTTTTTTCTTTCTACAATTCTTCTGCTAATGCATGACTTGAATCACAACTTCTTTCAATGACTTATTCAATGAAAGTTCAGTTGACTGAAATGGCGACCATTAAGTCGTCCACTACACACCACAAGAAAAAATTTATTTTGCTGGAAGTTAAGACATAGTTTAAATTAAGATGAGACAATTTCCTTTGAATTTTGATAGAGAAATTGCGAGGCAATGTCCTATATATCAGTACTATTGTTGGAGTTGCTTGATTGATTGGAATTGAAAGTGACTATTAATACTGTGCTTAGAAGCATACCACAAAGGTCGGCCAACAACTTCTCTGAGAAAAAAAACACACTTTGGCGCCGCACTGGGGGAGGAGGTCTTGGTTCCTCCTCACTTCCTCCCCTGGTTTCTCTATGTACAAGTGACAAGTCCCTACTTTCCTCTCTCCCCTCTGTGAGAGTCTCCTCTCTCCTCTCTGTGAGAGTCTCCTCTCTCCCTTGTGAGAGTTTTTTACTTTTTCTGTTTGTTTGTGTTTCTTGTCCTCTCATCTTTGCCTCCTCCCCTACTTGTGAGTCGTCAGCTCCTCCCACTCCCCATGAGTGCATTTTCTCGGAGCTATGTCTCAGATCTGAGTCTTTTATCCCCTCTACAGTTCTCTCTCCTTTGGCTAGCAGCTACCCTTCTTTGTTGGTTCTCAATCACCACTCCTTGCTCCTCGGCTCTGCGGGTACAACTTCCGTCGATCTCTTTCGGTGGCGGTATCTATCGGTGGCTTGTGAGTCTTGTCCCTTGGATTATGGGAGCACGTTTTGTGCGGGTGGCTAGTTCCCCCCCATCTTCCGCCTGGACCTTTGGTTTGTGTTGTTACCAGTTACTCTTTCTCGGTGATTGCGGATTTGCGATGGTGTTGCAGCAGATGGTCTTTGGGTGGCGCGGCTGTGGCTTTTGCTCAGATCTAGGGTTTTCTGTTTTTCATCTATTTTGTTAAGTTTCCGATGTGGAACTCGTGTGTTCTTTAACACTAATTACATATGAACTTGGACATTAATTGATTGCCTTCCAATCAGCTGACTGACAGTATACTTAATGTTAAGAAGTTTCATAGTGTCGCCGTGCGGCTATACTCCGTGTTTTTTAAAATTTTATTCCAATTAAGGCTATACTGTGTCAAACTGTGTGTTGGTTTCAAACTTCTTCTATTGTATTGCATGTTCTAACCATGTGCTTACGCGAAACAGACAAGAAAAAAATGATTGCAGAAATCTACTGCACTTGGTAATGGAAATTATTGCTTCTTGTCCTTCATAGAAGTAAAATACGAGTGGAGTAGCTGGAGTCTCATCAACAAGAAATGAACAACAAACACCACTAAGGGTTTGTCATATCGGTTGGTCTTGTACGTACTATCAAATATCAGCACGTCCTCAAAGCAACAATAATCATGTAAAGAATGAGAATCTCTTCAAAATAAATTTTCCAATTTATTCTCCTCATCTACACTAAACATGCAAAAAAAATTCCGGGTCCACTATTGCCTTCGCATTCATGTAGCTTATTGCTGCTTGCGCATCACTATCCAATACTACTTGTCAACGCTCGAAATCCAACATGTTATATAAATCCTTACTTGTGAACCCCACGTTCATGTATCCATCTGCTTGGTCAACCATATAGTCGTATGTGCAACTGGTTTTAAATTAGAATATTTTCTCATATAAATAGATTGTGCAATGTCAGATTCCTTAACACATTGGTGGAAGTGAAGAAAAGGCACCTCACATGAGTGAGCAAGTCGGTGAATGTGCTCATTTACAAATTTATTCACAATATAAACATCTCGTTTACGACAATATTGCACA